TCATTTATAATCCCCGCCCTAATTTTTAGGAAATTTACTTTATAAAATAGTATTAATCATCAGACTAAATAATAAGCAGAAAAAATAAAATAAAATAAAATTTAGGTAGTTGGGGTTGAAATTCGGTGGTTTTCTAATTATAAAAATTTTAAATTACATAAATAAAAGTTTTATCCTCCAAAAAGTCATTTACAATGAAATAGCAACTGTGATAGTTTGAATAAAAGAAAGAAAAAAAAGTTACAGTCTCAAACAGACTCTAAAGAGCTCACAATATATTTGGTAACATTATTTGCAGTTTATATACGCTGCGTTAAAATTTGGTATACAAGATATTTATAATTTTCCAAAACAATTTTTTTTTTTTTTTTACGCCTGCGACTCATGCAAACGTGTATTTACATACACAATGTAGCTAGCATTTTTTTGTTTATAAATATTATTAAGTGCCTTATAAATGTATATTCGAGTAAACTTAGTATGTAAGCCTTGTGAGTAAATGTACTGCCTTGATTAAAATGTACTTCCAATGATTGAAAATGTGCACGCCAAGTAAGCGTTTGAGAGAGGAAAAAGTGACAGAGATTTTATTGCGATCGAAATCTTGTATTTCATCAAGTGGTCTTATACGTATTTTACAATGCTAAGGACATTAGTTTTTTTTATTTTCAACAGTGTAAATAAATATGTGTATAAATGAACAAAAAGCAGCCCAAAACTACAATCTTTATGAAAACTGTAAAGCCGATAATAGATTTTTTTTAAACGATGAATATATTTATCTTCCGCTTCATAGTCGCTAGATGTATGGTTCTAAACTTTTTTTATGAATTTAACTAAAATAAGTATATTATTTTAACATCGTAATAACTGTCTTTTTTTTCTTGAAGGTGAATTAAAAATTTGGTTGTGATTTCAACTTTATGAACATGCAAACCATCCTCCATAATTTTTATCGCATAATTTTTTTCAAGTTCCTACAAGTATCTTGCATGTATGCCATCAAACTAAACTTATCGTATATGCTCGCTGAGACTTGAAAGGTTTTGTTTTAATATAAATACGTGATACTATTCCTGTCTTATGTTCCTGTACCGAACGCATACGTAATATACCTATAATTATTATTACTACTCATAGACTGCAATAGACTATCTGTTTATAGTTTTTAATTATTATTATTATTAATAATAATCTTTTTATACCGATCGCATTTTTTGTAAACGCAGAAAGTTACGCGAGATTCAGTAATAATCTCAACCGTAAAGTGCCATGTTTTTAATCTCACTTCGCATAAATATAAACGTATAATTTAAGAGAAGCAAATGTACACATGACTCGCGTATAGATAAAGCGCTACAGTTTTCATAAAGGTTTTACAGAAACCCACCCGTTACGCAAATGACATTGTGACCTGCGACTTTAATAGACTAAGTGCCACTCATTTATTTTTTTAAACGAAATGAATAAAGTATTTAATACCACTAGGACACTTTGTACTCTAATTTTAATCGATCGATGTAATCATAATTATATCCAGACGCGCTTTTTACATTATTTTTACTTTTTTTTTTTTTAAACAGAAGATTCAGTAATTTATTTGATTTTTTACGCGAAAATTGATAAAATTAAATTTTTATTATGATTTGTTGGTGATTTTTATGATTTTTCTTGGCTGTAAGCCTGGAATTTACCGTTTTTCGATTGGGCTGGTACTCAAAATTATTCGAAATTTCATTATAGTAATTTTATAAACTTACATACGTGATACAAGTTTTTGAAAAAAGTCTTTTTTTAATGTTAGTAGGTAAATTGTTCTTGGATCGAAAAGTGACACTCGATCTACGATTATTTACTAAATATTCTATATTTACGATCGAATTTTTCACTTGAGATTGTATACCAGTGAAATGTATCAAGTTTATTGAGCAAGTGTTTACTTACAAAAAAATTTATAAATTGCAAAGAAGCAATTTTATTCGTATTAACAGCATCGAATATCATTGTGTGAAATTGTAACACGATGTGTATATAGATTTTAAACATTAACATTCAAGTAATGAAATTACTTGATCAGTTGATAAGCTGTAAAATATTATCATTTAATTTTAAAATTTATAATTTCGTGTTGTAATTACTCTCAGAACTTGACCTATTTTNTACTTGTGTATTGATTGTAATTTTCAGCTTACGAGTTCTGCATCTCTGGAGTAACGAGTTAGTATCATAATTTTTCTTTCTACGACACACCTTGTACACGTTGTTGTTTTTTTGGTACCTATGACTTGAAAATCTTACGTGAACTCAGCAACACATAATTTTTAACGCTTCAACTCCATTTTACAAATTTATTCTCTCTAATCTTTGTATGAATTTCAGTATGAAAAAACAGGTGGGTTCTCAAAACGCATCGGTTGAGGAACTGCTTTAAACATAAAATGTAAAAATTTGCTTTTTGTGCAATCGGAAGAATTTGTAGATGTATAACGTATCATTATTTTAAAAAAGTATAAAAATTATTGTTTTAGCGCTATAAATGAGCAGCATTTTTTCACGTGGATAACCATCAACTTACAGTGCTAGATCAGTAGTTTTTATAATTTTTTTTTTTTTTTTTTTATCGTAAGTGTCATTTTATTGACTTGTTTTTTTGTGTTTTTTGAGGTGTGCGTATTTTAAAAACAAATTTTTGTTTTTTATTAACAACCATTAATGTAAAATCGGCAATAACCCAAATGTTCGCTCATCCAAAATAGTCGTATATTTTACGCTATGTTATTAAATACAGTGTATGCGAGAATAATGTCAATGTTTCGAAAGAAAAAAAAAAAAATGATGAGCTAAAATTAAAAGATAAAATCTAATTTTGGTTTTTAATATGGGTGGAATATTATTTCATGAAGTGTGTGATAACTGTATTCTATTTTGTATTATATAATTGTTAAATTTGTTTTTAGTGCCAAGGTTTTTGCCTTACAAATGGGCAGTGTGTTACTTTGTTAAAGTTTTTCTAGTTAATTTTAGAGACATTAAAATGTTTTATACCCACAATGTGTATTGTCACCGCAACTTGCCAAAACGTACATGTATATTCATACATTTTTATTGTAAATTAGTATGACAAATATTGTAAATAGTACAAAAATTCCAACAGGTATAATATATAGTGATGTTTGTGTAAAAATTGTCAAGTTTTGTCGAGTCACTTCGCTCACAACCATGTAAGATTTTTCCTACTGACACAACAATATTGTTACACAAGTAAGGTCTTAAATAAATGCATTTACCAAAACGAAAGTGTTTGTGTTTATTTCCCCCTCAGACTTACGTCTAATGAACATACACTCGTCCCGTCTCACGATTGATTAATGCTCAAATTCATTGATTCCAAAGATGTTACCATTTGCACCCACTTGTACATGTATACGTTACGAACGATCGAGTACTTTTAGCTCTTTGTTTTTTTTTCACCGCATTTCCAATAGCCCCCCAAAAAAGCTACTTCAACGATGCGTCTTTTTTTTTTGTTTTTTTGTTTTCTTGTTCCTTTTTATTTATTTATTAATTTTTTTACAGGTTTCGAAGGTTCCTCGGACGAAGGAGGAGAAGATTCGCGACCACAGTCGGTATTCGTGAAAGAAGACGAGTACGACAGCTTCGATAACGAGCTCGACGTGTACAAAGTAACGGCCGACGACCCCCTGGGTAAGCCCCGACCCTTTTGCCATATCTCGTATTGTATATGCATTGTACCTATATACCGCACGATTCGACAAAGCCGATCGATTCCACCAACAGATCTGAACAACGGCGGCGAGGACGAGAGGAGCGCGACCTTCGCCAACGGCCCAAAGACCCCGGCGTCAGCGCCACCGGTGCGTCCGAAGCGAAAGAGAAAAGGCTATCCCAACCACTTGCTGACTTACTACGGGCGGCAAAAGTGCCGCAAGTGCGGTCACATCCTGAAAAAGGCGGAAACCCTGCACCAACACCAGAGCACCGCGTGCAAGCTGGAACGGCGCTTCTTCTGCGCCCACTGCACCTTCAAGACCAAGGACCGCAAGTTCCTCAGCCAACACCTGGCCCGCGACTGCCGGCCGGCCAACCATAAGCCCCACCAGTGCCGCAAGTGCAACCAACTGTGCGACACGCCCGGCGAGCTCTTTCAGCACCGGCGCTCCTGCAAAATGGAAACACGGCTCTTTTGTCCCGATTGCGCCTTCGGCACAAAATCCCGGGAGAACCTGGCCATACACGAGGAGCGCGTTCACGGGGAACCGGGCATCTACCCGTGTCCCAGGTGCGACAAGCTCTACCGGTGGAGGTACTTGCTGATGAAGCACCTCGAGACGTGTTATCCCCTGAGACCGGTGAGCCCGATCAAGCCGGGCCAGATGCTCGTGTGCTGCTTGAGGTGCGACACGGCCGAGAACTACATGGTTTGCCAGCCGGGCGAGCGCAGGACGGCCGATTGCCGGGCATGCGGGTCTAAACTCTGGTACAGGTGCTCCACCTGCGCCAAGGAGTACCAATCGGTACGGACGATGCGCACCCACGTTCGCTTCCAGTGCCAAAAGTTGCCGAGTTTCCAGTGCGCCCACTGCGACTTCAAGACTTACCTCAAGCCGAATCTCGAGGTCCATCTGCGGGCGAGGCACAGCCAGACCGAGGTCAAGGAGCACAAGTGTCCGAATTGTCCCAAGTTTTACAAGTTCCGGACCCACATGCTGCATCATTACAAGTACTGCGGACACGGGCTCGATTACCACTGCGACCGGGAGTCGTGCGACTTCAGGACCAAGAGACCGGACTACTTGACGCGCCACGTGCTCCACAACCACGGGACCAAGGAGAGCAAGCCACCGACCGAGGCTTTCAACGGTGGCTCCTCGCTTGTGATGGTCCTTCCGGGGAAATAAGAGGCCAAGGATTATGAGCCCCAAAATACATGAACCACCTTTCATTTCGTACACCTGTACTTATCACTTATTCATTTATATCATAACAATACATACGTGTTTCAGTATTTCCGTGTCTCGATGTTCCATTGTCAGATGAATAAACACGAGTTTTGAAAATTTCTGCGTTTTTTTGTTGTATTTTACCCCGCATATCTATAGAGGGGGAGAGCCAGGCGGTACGATTACGTTAACATTTTTTTTTTTTTTTTTTTTTCTCGATACTTGCTACATTTTGCGAGCGGTTTGTCATTTGAAAATTTTACCGGAAGGTACCTCTTTTTTTGTCGTAGTTGGTACTCTTGCCCCGCTCTCCCCCGTATACATGGAAAGGCAAAACTTTACCACTTAAACTTAAGCAAGGTATGTTTTAACACGTCAATCATCATAATTTAGAGAAAGAAAAAAAAAAAAAAAAAAAAAAACAGAACCAATGCTTTCGCATCTCACCCAACTGCCCTGTACGCACACCACCTTTTATTTTGGCCCGTTCGGTAAAAATCAATGAATGATAATAACAATCTGTGTTGCAGTGCGGCGCGTGAACCTCGGCTCCTATCAGACTTACATCAAGGACGAGTCGGTGTACTACCCAGAAAACGAGCTCTTGTTCGACGCATCGTCTCCAGGTAACAATTTTTGTTTTGCGTTTTCTCAAACATTAAAAAAAAAAAAAAAAAAAAAAAAAAAAAAAAAAAAAAAAAAAAAAAAAA